TGTGAGATATGGTTTTGGCCAGTAGGATGTTCATGAAGGACCTGTAGTACAAAGTATATCATTGGATTGAGCTCATTGTCTAAGTGTATTATTAAAGTGCTTTGCTTTGAGCTCAGTTCATTGTTATGCAATTCATTCTTTGTGAAATAAAGATTTGACAGACAACTCTATGTACAAGGAATTGTCAAAGTAGTATCCGTTCTATGTACAATGTAAGTAATAGGGAGATAAAAGCATTTTATTTAGATTTGAACCAAACATTTTTTGTCCATTAGCCAAATTAAAAAAAAAAGCACAAATTCACCAAGCAATGCTACTGGCGCTACTAGCAATATGATGCTAGGTTCTTTTGTTACACTTTAATTTTATGCCCCCGCCGTAGCGGAGGGGGCATTAAGTTTTACCCTTGTCCGACTGTACGAACGTACGTACGTACGTCCTAAAATGGGTTTCCATTCTCTAACTTTAGTTTGCCTCAACCAAATGTTATGAAACTTAAACGCAATGCTTATTACCACAAAACACAGATCAAGTTTGAATTTTGGTAGCGTCACTTTTACCGTTCTAGAGTTATGCCCCATTAAAAATGGAAAAATTGTTGAATTTTTCGTTTCCGTTCTCTAATTTTAGTATGCCTCAACCAAATGTTATGAAACTTATACCCAATGCTTATTTCCACAAAACACAGATCAAGTTTGAATTTTGGTGAACCGTTCTTGAGTTGTGCCCCTTTATAAATGGAAAAATTGCTGAATTTTTATTTTTTTCTAAATATCAAGTAATTTTAATATTGGAGTTATCTTCCTTTGTCCATGATTATAGTTGAATCAACTACAATCAATGCTTTATACAATGCAATGTTTAATTTTGACTTCCACTGATAAAATACAGATCAAGTTGAATTTGGGTAGGGTCACTTTAACCATTATTGAGTTATGCCCCTTTATAAATCGAAAGATTGCTAAATTTTTAGTTTCCATTCTGTAACTTAAGTTTGCCCCAACCAAACATTATGAAACCTATACACAATATACATTACCACAAAACTAAGATCAAGTACAAATTTTTTGTTTCTGTTTTCTAACTTTAGTTTGCCACAACCAAATGTTATAAAACTTATACACAATGCTTATTACTACATAATACAGATTAAGTATGAAATTTGGTGGCGACACTTTTACCATTCTTGAGTTATTTCCCTTTATTAACATAAAAATTGCTGAATTTTTCGTTTCCGTTCTCTAACTTTAGTTTGTTTCAACCAAATGTTATAAAACTTATACACAACCGTTTTAGAGTTATGCGTGTTTACAAATAGAAAAATTGCTGAATTTTGAGTTTCTGTTCTCTACTTAAATTAACCTCAACCTAATGTTATGAGACTTACACACAATGCTTATTACCACAAAACTCAGATCAAGTTCAAATTTGGGTAGCATCACTTTTACCGTTCTTCAGTTATGTCCCTTTTTAACTATATGATATGCAAGCGGGGGCATCATCTGTGTCCACATGTGGACACTATCCACATTTTTTTACATCTGTACTGCCTACTGGCGACTCAGTCCTGAGTGTAAATGGTCATTCAGTATGTTAAGAAAAAGACCAAAATTTATAAGGCCTATCTGGCCTAATTGATTTCTAAAATATATTTCATTGTACATGTTCAACATTTATCATTCATTTGTTTATTTCTTAATTTGTGTGAATTAACAGTAAATGTTAATTACTACACTTTCATACCATAACAAAACTGCCTTACTGTATTGGTATCACTTATAATTTGTATCCATATAACAAATAAACTGAAAAGAGAATACTTTTGCAATAGCTTTTTCATATTGAATACTAAAACTTTTTAGATATTTAGACATATTAAGTAGATGTTCATAATATCCACTTGACATTTTATCATATGACTTCTGTAGTTAGTTATGAGTCTTTGAAGCATGCTCACAAAGGTTCTTTTGTTGATATCATTTTCATACTGGTCAAAACTTTTTTCTGCTTTGACCAGCTTTGGAGGAGATATTTTCAAAGAATTAATAAAAAATAACACAAAAATTCACGTTCTAGCTCATCTAGCCCGAATCATCATGTCAGGCATTGTCATTACTAAAAAACATTAAATGTCTGAGAAACAATTTCCATATTTAACCGAAATCTTTTACTTATGATACTGACAATCCCCCACAAAGTAATATAAATAGAACTATACAAATAGTAAGCAAATACATGTTCTCAGATACCATCTCCCATATATTAAGAAAAAAATGAACCTATTATGTGTTCCTCTCCTAACTACAAAATGTATCCAAAATCAAAGATGTGGAACATATATATTCTATCATAATCATTTGGTAATTAATGCAATTAGTATCTCTTCCATGCCCGTGTTGAACATAAAAAACTAAATATTACATAAACAACACCCCTAATGCTTATGTTGGTTGTCATTGTGCAACACAGTTAATACATAGAAAACATAAAACATAGAAATCCTTTTGTCATATAAAACACTGTCAAACATCCAATCATACTATCCACACTGATCTGTGTCCACACTTGTTTACTTACAAAATAATGAACGAAAAACAAATATGTTACACAGCAACAAACGACAATTACTGAATTACAGGCTCCTGACTTGCAGGCACAGGCACATACAGAATGTGGAGGGATTAAACTAGTTTGAAGGCGCCAACCCTCCTCTACATTATTTGCAGGATATAGACAGAGGGAGTTCATTCACTTTTCAGGTTCTTGCTAAACTGCAATTAATTCAAGACTAGAATAATGCAAGAATATGATTTTCTTTTATTTTTTTTCAGCAAAATAAGGCATATTTCAAGATAGATTTGCTATTTCTTTGTTGCCTTACAACTGCAGAACTATTTTTTCGTATATAGAATCATTGCATGGTATGACCTCAACATATGGATCACTGATCAAAATTAAAATTTTGTGATCAAGTCCGTATCTCAGATACTATTATTTCAATTATATTTGGAGTATGGAAAGATTGCAAGGTGTACATGTTCGTCTGGCATTTTGAATCTGTCCTTGATATTTGGTGCATGGAATGATTGTAGTGTATACATATAAAAAAGAAGATGTGGTATGATTGCCAATGAGACAACTCTCCACAAGAGACCAAATGACACAGAAATTAACAACTATAGGTCACCGTACGGCCTTCAACAATGAGCAAAGCCCATATCGCACAGCCCCGAGATGACAATGTAAAACAATTCAAACGAGAAAACTAACGGCCTAATGTATGTACAAAAAATGAACGAAAAACAAATATGTAACACACAAACAAACGACAACCACTGAATTACAGGCTCCTGACTTGGGACAGGCACATGCATGCAGAATGTGGCGGGGTTAAACATGTTAGCGTGATCCCAATCCTCCCCTAACCTGGGACAGTGGTGTAACAGTACAACATAAGAACGAACTATAAAAATCAGTTGAAAGAGGCTTAACTCATCAGATGGATAAAAATACAAAAACTACAAATACAAGTGGACGTGGCCGGGTACTTGTACATCAAAACAACAAAAAGACACTAAGTACAGATTTGAGAGTACTCGCAGTTACTGACAGCTAGTTCAAAGCCACTAACAACTAATAAAAAATATCATGCATCTAAGACTAAATTATCAATCCGTACACATCCAACATCCAATGGATTTAGTGTAAAAACGTCATAAACAGTCAAGAGGAAAACATGACCTTGTGCAATGCCAAGATACAGATATCGACATATTGTAGACCCATGAATGTGTATATGTATATAAAAATAATATTTAGTTTGCTTTTAATTTACTGATAACAAAATCAATATCCTGTTCTTTTGACAGATCCAGTCTTCTGACCTTGACCTATGAACATGTATCCAGTGGCGTAGCAAGGCCATTTTTAAGTGTACGCCCGAACCTCGGCAAGGAGTCTGAAGGCACCCAGCTGCCCCAGGACAGAGGACCTCCGGGTAGGGGTCGAAACCCCCCGGAAGCTCACGCGTTATCGTAAAAAGATACCATTTATGTCAATTCAAAATTCATCAATAGCAACATACTTGGTCGGTTGAGAACAAAACTTTACTACATAGAGATGATTTCAGCTTCCCAGTTGTGAACTTTCTGTTTCTATGTAGCAACATTCCAGTAGAATCTGCATATGAGTATATATCTCCTATTTGATACGATATTTCAGAACTTGCATTTCCCATCATGATTTCCTTGAATGAGGTTTCTAATCACAAGGAAGCTATTAAACCAAGATTTCCAAGTGGTGAAGTTGAAGGCATCCCGACGATGACGACGGACATGTTCCATTATTGTAACCACAATTCCATCCTCTTTTCCTCGAATTTGACCTACCGAGTTAGACTTATGACCGAGTTTTTACTAACATGAGCAACACGACGGGTGCCACGTATGGAACAGGATATGCTTACCCTTCTGAAGCACACGAGTCCCCCCGTTTTTAGGTGGGGTTCGTACTGTCTAGTCTTTAGTATTCTGTGTTGTCTTTTATGTACTGTTTGTCTTTACGACCTCCAAAATTCATGTGCACGCCCGGGCGTTTTGACGTAAACGTAGCTACGCGTCTGGTATCATTGATAATGTTAAGATCATGTGATACCTGAAGTAAAACCTTTATTTTCAAGACGGTATAGATAATTTCAATCTACGACTATATTAGGTCGATAGAATCATTTCACCTTATGTACCTTGACACCAATTACTAGTATCAGTTTCTCGGTAAGGTCTGAAGAACAAAGAGCTGGTTTTGATCATTGTTGATGGCCGTACAGTGACCTATTATAGTTGTTTACTTCTACGTCGTTTATCATCTACATAGTGGAGAGTTGTCTCATTGGCAATCATACCACATCATCTTATTTTTGCAAGAAGTCTTTTCGACGCCGTGACGAGACACGTATTTTTAAGTGCAGAATTGATAGACAAGGGAGATAAATAAAAATTGCGTTAAGAAAGACACTGGAACCTTTATTTTTTGGACTAAAACATGCTGTTCTTATATTTTTTTCTTTAATTCTAGCAAGGTTTCAATCTTAAAATCAAACTTCTAAAGTCTGTATCTCGAAAATTGCTACTATTGTTGCCTATGGGAAAAATAATTGTATTTTTCAATCCTAAGAGGAGTTGTAGATGTTTAACTGTTGTTATCTGTGAAGGTTGTTGAACAGGTATCTGTCAATATGTCTAAATGCACCATCAAAAAGCTGTAAAATGAGGTCAACATAATTTAAATTAATAAAAAAAAACTCAGATAAATCCTTTTAAGAAGTAAAACTTGTTTACAAGTTAACGTTGCTTAACAGTTTGCATTCACCATGAATAAATACCAAAAAGAATGAGAGCGATATTAGACATGATCAGACATTAAGACGCAAACACTGAAAAATAAATGGATTTACATTCGTCCTTATCTAACTTTTTATTAATAATTTAAAAAATAATTATTACACTGTTTGAAGTTGTTGGATTTATTAGTCTATAATTTAGAACATATTCGATTAAGACAAGCTATATGGGTCATTATAAAAAAAACATGCAAATATATGTCACAGACATGAAAATATATCAAAATAACACTTGTATATGTTAGATATGAATGTTTTGTGATACACTATATACAGTTTACAGTATGAAATGTTATAAAAACATCCTTAATGTTTTCAGAAACCCTTGGATATAGCCAGAATTAACTGTATAATTTTTTTCTATAGTACCTTTCAGACCTGAAATAGGACTATTATTCATATTCTTTGTTATTAGGATTGATCACTTTTTATTGCATTTTGATATATACAAACATCCTTTTAATGATTTGGAAAGTGTATGTTGGTTTTATAATAACAAATTTCAACAAAAAGAAGAGTCTCATTTTTTTAAGTCACTGGAGTAACCAATAGACAAATTGGTTGGGTAAGAGTTATCTTTCTCAAGTTTTCAGCATTTACAATAGGTTCTCCTCTAGCAATGTTACCTGTAAGCATGTAATGCAGACGACAAAAAAAAATCTATGTTGGAAATTAGTGAAAAAATCTTAAAATTAAGTAAAAGCTGTATCGTAAATGAAATTAGTGTCTATGGTGTACCCCTATAAAAATCATTTTCCGAAAGATTTCCTAAACTTTGATTTACTAGTATGAAAAGATATTGATTGTAGAAACAAGCATCGGATGAGGAACAACATATAAAATAGGGGAATGGAGCACTTATTTTGAAACTTAATCTAAAAATACACCTGTACGTCATTGGTGTTACTGCCAATGGTGAGACCACTTTAATAAAATAAAAACCATTGACCAGTTTAGTAACACCACTGTATATAATATGACAATCAGCAATTTTTTGTGTTTTTTTCATGTTTAACAACCGAAACATCATATCATATTTATAAAATATAATACTTATTTAACAATGTTTTAACAAGATAATGTATTACCTATACCAAGTTTTTACAAACTGGTGTATGCTGGTAACATCACTGACACCATTTAGTAACACTATTGACATTTTTAGTTATTGGTGTTATGTTATATAAATTGGGATTTTTTAGCCTAAGAATTATTTTTTTCTTTTTCTTTTGCTTAGTGTTTTTTGTTTTGTGTTAATACTTTATAAAAGTAAAATTTGAACTTTGTTGTCAATGGTGATACTTTTTTGTCATTGTAGTTACTGAAGGGTCAGTGGTGTTACTATATAAAAATGCAATAATTTTTATTTTTTCATTAACAAATGATAGCTTTTTTAGGTCGTATACGAAGGATTAGACATTAACTTATCATTCAGTCTTACACATTTTACATATATTCAGTTTTAGTGTATACTTTAATATTAACATCAGCCATAATTAGGACAGCTATGCGTGTTTTTTACAACAATTTATTCTGAAATTTATGTCCAAATAGAATGCATACCTATAATAAATGTGGATAGTGTCGACATGTGGACACAGATGATGGCCCCGCTTGCATAATATATAGGGACATAACTGAAGAACGGTAAAAGTGACGCTACTCAAATTTGAACTTGATCTGAGTTTTGTGGTAATAAGCATTGTGTGTAAGTCTCATAACATTTGGTTGAGGCTAACTTAAGTAGAGAACAGAAACTAAAAATTCAGCAATTTTTCTATTTGTAAACACGCATAACTCTAGAACGGTTGTGTATAAGTTTTATAACATTTGGTTGAGACAAACTAAAGTTAGAGAACGGAAACGAAAAATTCAGCAATTTTTATGTTTATAAAGGGACATAACTCAAGAATGGTAAAAGTGTTCTCACCAAATTTCGTACTTAATCTGTATTATGTAGTAATAAGCATTGTGTATAAGTTTCATAACATTTGGTTGAGGCAAACTACAGTTAGAAAACAGAAACAAAAATTTGTACTTGATCTTAGTTTTGTGGAATATTGTGTATAGGTTTCATAATGTTTGGTAGGGGCAAACTGAAGTTACAGAATGGAAACTAAAAAATCTGCAATCTTTCGATTTATAAAGGGCATAACTCAATAATGGTTAAAGTGACACTACCCAAATTCAACTTGATCTGTGTTTTATCAGTGGAAGTCAAAATTAAACATTGCATTGTATAAAGCATTGATTGTAGTTGATTCAACTATAATCATGGACAAAGGAAGATAACTCCAATTTTAAAAATTACTTGATATTTAGAATAAAATAAAATTTTTGCATTTTTTCCATTTATAAAGGGCATAACTCTAGAACGGTTAAAATGACGCCATGAAAACTCTAACTTGATCTGTGTTTTGTGGTAATAAGCATTGTGTATAAGTTTCATAACATTTGGTTGAGGCAAACTTAAGTTAGAGAACGGAAACTAAAAATTTTGCAATTTTTCCATTTATAAAGGGGCATAACTCTAGAACGGTTTAAGTGACGCCACGAAAAGTCAAACTTGATCTGTGTTTTGTGGTAATAAGCATTGTGTATAAGTTTCATAACATTTGGTTGAGGCAAACTTAAGTTAGAGAACTGAAACTAAAAAATTTGCAATTTTTCCATTTATAAAGGGGCATAGCTCTAGAACTGTTAAAGTGACGCCACCAAAATTCAAACTTGATCGGTGTTTTGTGATAGTTAGCATTTTGTATAAGTTTCATAACATTTGGTTGAGGCAAACTCAAGTTAGAGAACGGAAATTTTGGGATGTACGTACAGACGGACAAGGGTAAAACTTAATGCCCCCACCGCTACGGCGGGGTCATAAAAATAATGTCAATAAGTAGTAATTTTACCCTTAACAAAACACTGAAAGTGGTTTGGTATTTAATTTCTTTTTTAATAACTAAATGCATGTTTTTATATTTATAACACCACTGACATGATTCTATAAAAGGATGGCCTAAAATTGTTAAAATTGAAGGAACTCCTAATTTTCCCCATTGCATATTTCTGAATATAGTTGCTACCATATTTACGAAAAGCAGGACATATTTTATTTAATTTTTAAAACAATGACATCAGTTTCCCGAAATTTCCCTCATCGGAAATATGCATGTTTTTTTATAATGACCCATATACGCCTGTCCCAATCCAGGAGCCAGTAATTGAGTGGTTGTCCTTTTTCACTGGTTCTCATGTTTGTTTTTCGTTTCTTTTCTTGTTTTGCTTAGTTTTTTGTTGTTCCGTTACACCACTGTCTCAAGTTAGGGGAGGGTTGGCGCCTTCAATAAAATTGAGAATGGAAATGGGAAATGTGTAAAAGAGACAACAACCCGACCAAAGAGCATAAATCAGCCCAAGGCCACCACTGGGTCTCCAACACAGCGATACAATCCCGCATCCGGAAGGGTAAACAAAAATGTGTACTTAGTCTAGTTCAGTGAAAATAAATATGTTTAACCCTGCCACATTCTTTATGTGCCTGAAGTTCAGTGGTTGTCGTTGGTAAATGTCGGTCATATTTGTTCTTCGTAAATTGTTTTGTTATGCATTATGCCGTTAGTTTTCTCCATTGAAGTTTTGCATATTTTTCATGACAGGGCTTTTTATAGCCGACCATACGGTATGGGTTTTACTCATTGTTGAAGGCCGTACGGTTGCCTATAATTGCTAACACCCAGTTCATTTGAACTTTGGTAGATAGTTGTCTCATCTGCAATCATATCACATCTCCTTATTTTTATATAAAAGATGATTTTTGCTTGTGGTCATTAAGATACTACTAAATAGGATTAATGGATGTTATATAGCTCCAAACTATTCTGCGTATTTATACATCCCTGGCTTTCTAAATTCTTATGTTTAAGTTTGGGAGTTTCTGCATGATGAAGTTATGTCATGAAAGTAAAATCGTTTACAGTGCCATTTCATAGGTTTAAAATATTGTGATATTACATACTTTTCATACCTTTTCTTCTATACTCCAAATGAAAACGAAATGATTGTGTTTGATACTTACATTGTATTTACCACATGTATCATCTTTGAACCATTTCTCTAAGTCTTTATATACTTGTAGGTTAAAAGGTTGATGTAATCTATCACACAATCGACAGAACCCACTGTACATCGATGAGATGGCCGTATATGTACGTTTCCAGTCATAGAACGAATTATACAAGGACTCGTTGTTGCTAATATTTCTTATAAACTGTATTGCTGATGTAAGATTTGTAAAATCATATACATTTATATACGAGTTTGGTACAACATGATCGTTGTTCTGATGCTCTTTCCAGTTCACTATGGGAATAATGTCCTGTAAAAGTGAACTCCAATATTTTTCTGTGATGTAATCCCGACAATATCCATTTTCAAAAGCAAGTCTGAATTTATATCTTTTAATCTCTTTAGGATCAAGACAATAAAATTTGTCGTGATAGTCACATTTTAATTTCTTACGACTACATTGTCCATATACATCCACCTGAAAGTGCTTGGATAACTCCTGGATTATCTTATAACGTCTTGCATCGTCATGGCACCGACTGATAACCGCCATCATGTCCTTTGAACGGTATGTATAGGAAACGTTATTGTATTCTGATTTTACATTGCTGTTATTTACATAGTAACCATAAGGATTGAAGATAGTGGAATAGGTTCTGTATGACATGGTCCAGTTAAATATTCTACCCCACCAATTCATATTCCCTTCTATCAAAGTTGTTGGTTCTAATGTAAACAAAATCCATGGTTGTTGTAAAACTCGTAATGGTGGAAGGTCTTTCTTTTTTAAATCTCCGTGGTGAAACAATATGGCATCGGCTTCCTTCTGACGCGTTCTGTCCGATGTCACTTCACATTGTTTGCTACATGTCATGAATTTTTTCCTAATTTCACGTTCCCAGTACATACTTTTAAAAAACGTAGTCCATAAAAGAAGAACACTTTTTGTTTTATTCAGCAGTACTGTGTCGTTATAAATTTCTAGGTTCTGTTCATCAGTATTATAAAACTGACTGGTAGCGAAACTTGGTATAAGGGTATAGGATTTGTCCAAATAAAACAATATGATCGTTGACAAGATTATCAAAAATACAATATAGTATGTCTTGTATCTACAAAATATGTTACAAAAGTTCTCAAACCATTTTGTCATTTTAGTAAATATACATTCATAGCTTTATGTTACAGTATTATGTTACTATCACTCCGTATGCTCCGCAGTCATCAACTATCCTCGAAAAAGTTCATGTTCCTATATGGCATGCATGGTGGTGTGAGCTTCCTATTTGCAGGGATTTAAAACGCAATCTAAAAGAGAACACCAAAATTACATCGACAAAATAGTTCGTATTTCTATAAATCGCAAGCAAAAACATAGAATCTATTCATTTTAAACATGTAGAATCCTGGCGTACTATGCTATTAAAACACTAATAGTTAAAAAGCTAATAAAATTTGGTATACATAAAGGGGCATTAGCTGTCAAATTCATGTTCACCGATTAGACTCAAATTCTCATATTTGATTTATAAGATACTAAAACGTATATCCAAAATATAAAAAGTCTGAGATAAACAATCAACAATGCATGGGCTGGATAATATGTATCAGCATTGTGTATTTTAGTCTATACGCCATCTAATTAACCATCGAGGTGACCTCCGAAGACTGCCCGACGGTCAAATATCCCGATATAAACATAGATATAGATATAAAATTAAATAGAAAGCGAACCCGTGCAATTGGATTTTTCTAGGTCTGTTTGATTTCATGTTATAGGTTAAACAAATATGTAAATCATCTTTTACCTGTATAAGAATGAGTTTTGTTGATCTAATCAGTCAACCAAATGGTTTACTCTTGTTTCACTTTCAATGTTGAGATTCTTTTCCTTTTAATAGCTGAACACGCCTAGTTCATGCGTAACTCATCTCTAGCTAAGGGGTTAAATATAAGGTCACAGGAATACGGTTTCAATGAGGTCGAATTATTCACTTGCTAGTGAATAATTCATCAGCGATGTTACTTAGCTCATTTTGAAAAAAATGAACTAAACTCGCTGCTAAAAGCAAATTATTATTTCACTATTTCATTTTCATTAATGATTGAACAAAAACAAAATCTTATTTTAATTTTTTTCATATCTCGTAGCTAATGCCCCTTTAAGTTATATGGAGTCCTATAGAAATTGTGTTTGTCAATGAAAATATGCAGACGTACCTTTTATGACTATAAAGAAAGTGCTAAATTTGTCAGGTTGACTTAGAAGGGTCTTCGACGTGCACAGAGCGTTGCACTCTCCCTACAGGAGGCTTATGAAAATGAATATGCTGGCCTGGTAAAAACTGAAAATAAGTAATCTTGCCCAAGACAGGACTAAGATGAATATCCTTTCCCACAAAAACTGCAGGAAATAATAGTGTACAAAATCAAAAATAAATTTTGACAAGTTTTTTTTTCAATTTTAGGACAAAACTAATACAGTAGTGTTTACATCATCTAAAAATGAAAACTTGTTATACGAAAGAAACAAATAAATTCTACTCCTAGTAGTACCAAATTATGAGGCGCGGATTTAGTAAAAATCAGTATATTTATTTAAGGAGCTCCTGGAATATTTCAGGACCTCAATAATTGAATTCAAAATATTCACCAATCATCGAGGACCTCCTGAAATGTTTTATGGCCTCCATAATTCGATTTCAGGACCTCCATAATTCGATTTCGGGACCTCCATAATTTGATTTTAGAATATTCTGAAATATTGTAGACCTCCAGAAATAATCGGTCAAAGTTGTTTTATTTCAAGAGGTCCTCAACTTTTTCAGGATATAATTAATATTTATGAATGTCCATAATCATATTTATCTTACCTCCAATAGATTTCTGGGGATATGATTGTTAAAGGACTACACGTGGTGACTACATATATTTGATATAGGGTGTTCTAAAAAATATGGGGTTAGTTACCATATGGGGTTAGAAAGGAGTTACTTCCCTTTCAAAACGAAAAAGAAATCTGAAAGGTTTCATCAGATGAAGAAATTGATAATGAACGATTGAAACAAATTAATAAAACAAATTTGAAGCTAACAAGTTGATATGTTAGCATTTGTTTTTTGTATAGACAAATGTAAGTTGGTTCTTAATTTAATATTAGTTACATGGTGTGTTAGTGACCTAATACGATATTATATATGAGGTCAGTAAATTCCAATTGGGGTGAAAGCGAAGCTCGAATACGATATATATGGGGTCAGTAAATTCCATATGGGGATTCGAGCGATATATATGGGGTCAGTAAATTCCATATGGAATTTACTGACCGCATATATATCGTATTAGGTCACTAGCACACCGTGTAACGAATTTATCTTATCGACTATATCTTTACATGTGGTATTTAGACTAGCGGCCTATCAAAGTGATTAAGTCTTCAATACTTAGTATTAAGAACCTACTTCCATTTGTCTATTTGTCTATTAAAAAAATTTAGTGAAAACAATGGGAAAAAAATATACCAGAATCCTCTACTCAAGAACCTGTGGAAATGACTACCGATATTGTTTGTTTTTTTTTAAATGTGGATTTATCATGTTTATATGAAATATATTATATACATGTATAAATAGCAAAAATACTTATCTTACCTTTTAACTTATCATTCAGCTTACGGTTACCTGACCAATCGTGACAATCTCGTGACAGCGATATTGTTTTCAATTAAACTTATTTTTCTGATTATTGGTATTCACTATCTCCTATGTACAAAAAGCGGTGTATGTTCAACTCGTCAGTTGAGAGCAGCGAGATACCAACGGCTATTTATAGTCCAATGTTTAGTGTATTATTGACCAACGTTATCTTTAGCAGTTTGATTGTCGCAAAACACCTGGATTATTTTGGATGCATAAGTATTAGCATAGATGTATAAACCCATAGATGAAGCATCAGAATCTCACTACTGTTATCTATTGTTAGATAAAAAGAATCTTGGTCAAATTATTAAACTGATGTTCAATGTGTGTAGGTGGCACGGTAGTATTTCCTGGCCCATAAGGGATAATGATAGCCTTTTTAGGATTTTCACCCCTTTCTAGCACTGCGAAAAATTCTACATACACAGTTAACTGAAGTACTTTCATTATACTAATCAGAAATAAATTTGAATATGTATCATGACCGTTTACTTTTTTTGCTATTTTTAAAAACCTAAGGCCACTAGTGCTTTTAGGTCTTTTATCATGCAGTGAATACAAAATTAAAAAAATTCTCAAAAATTCATTTTCACCTGTTTGTAAAATTATTTCTTATTTTTCTACACCTGATTCATCCCTCAGTTTGGGAAAGTATGTTCAGTTGATACTGTATTTTTAGTCCAATCACACTGTTCAGATACATTGACCTAAGTAGGGTACACAAAAGAGCAACCTAAATTCTGGAATGCAAATACTACTGTGCTACCTTAACCAAGACATTACAAACTTGAAATCAGTCATGACACCTATGATGCATAGACTTCTTACTAGGAAACATATTACAATAAAGAATACTAGTCTTCACTTATTTCTTACCAAAAAAAAATTAAAAAGTATACCCCTACCCCAGCTGGCAGATTTTCACTTTTTTTTCATCTGAACATTTTTACTTAAGGAGTGAACAAAACCCAAATATATGTTGTTTCAAATCAACACAGAAGTAAACCATGGTGATTCAGGAGGAATTATTGGATTGCCAACTCTCTTTATAGTTAATCTGACTGAAAGAAACAGTTTAAGCACCAAATCATGAAAACTGATAGTAAAGTCCATTCCACATTTTACAGCATGCCTTACATTCCTTTAAGCATTTCCAGATTATGAAGGCAATATAACAAGACTCTTTAGATGGCAGTTTACTATTATTCAAAGATCTTTTTGACAATACATGTACTAGAATATATCTTTAAGTTGACTCATTGTCTATTTCTCATGTATGCATTCAGTTAAATTATGTCCCCTTACATAATCAATTTAGCTTTATTGTGCTTTTCAGGGTCAGAAAATCAAATAAATTAATGACATTTGCATGGAAAATGAATAAACTATTTAATCTTGCTGATATACAATCATAATCACATTCTTTGTCCAAAAAATTGTCTTGTCAATGTAAAGAAACCCCTAATGCTATCTCTATTTCAGCTAAATATAAGGGCTAAATGAATAAGTAAGGATCCCTTAACCACTTACTAGTTCCAAAAAAGCTCTTTACTGGTGTCATGTTACCACAGAACTACAAATTAAACCTGAAGAAAACTAGTATAGCTGTACTTGTGTGGAAAAAAATAAAAAAATATGCACTTTATTTATTACGGTGAAAATTATAGGACGTACAGGAGACTAAAATATGTCGCGTCTCAAATTCCAGTTGTTGCACAAGTGTCAGACACTGCGAAAAGTTAAAACGAAACTTTATAATTAAAAATGTATTGCAAGTTACTTAAAAATAAAGAAATTTTACTTTCTAGGTAAATATTAACATTATTACCCACAGATCAGGCAAAATTTGCTGAATCAGCAATTTTCACTCCCAGGGGTGAAATTTAAGGGCTGTTTTTATTCTAGTTGCCCTTAATCAACTTTTTATTGATAAACTTACAAATTGCATAGGTAAAAAAAATACCTTTATTGATTTTGTGTAAACATATATATCCCAGTTAAGGTGGCACGGTAGTATTTCCTGGCCCATAAGGGATAATGATAGCCTTTTTAGGATTTTCACCCCTTTCTAGCACTGCGAAAAATTCTACATACACAGTTAACTGAAGTACTTTCATTATACTAATCAGAAATAAATTTGAATATGTATCATGACCGTTTACTTTTTTTGCTATTTTTAAAAACCTAAGGCCACTAGTGCTTTTAGGTCTTTTATCATGCAGTGAATACAAAATTAAAAAAATTCTCAAAAATTCATTTTCACCTGTTTGTAAAATTATTTCTTATTTTTCTACACCTGATTCATCCCTCAGTTTGGGAAAGTATGTTCAGTTGATACTGTATTTTTAGTCCAATCACACTGTTCAGATACATTGACCTAAGTAGGGTACACAAAAGAGCAACCTAAATTCTGGAATGCAAATACTACTGTGCTACCTTAACCAAGACATTACAAACTTGAAATCAGTCATGACACCTATGATGCATAGACTTCTTACTAGGAAACATATTACAATAAAGAATACTAGTCTTCACTTATTTCTTACCAAAAAAAAATTAAAAAGTATACCCCTACCCCAGCTGGCAGATTTTCACTTTTTTTTCATCTGAACATTTTTACTTAAGGAGTGAACAAAACCCAAATATATGTTGTTTCAAATCAACACAGAAGTAAACCATGGTGATTCAGGAGGAATTATTGGATTGCCAACTCTCTTTATAGTTAATCTGACTGAAAGAAACAGTTTAAGCACCAAATCATGAAAACTGATAGTAAAGTCCATTCCACATTTTACAGCATGCCTTACATTCCTTTAAGCATTTCCAGATTATGAAGGCAATATAACAAGACTCTTTAGATGGCAGTTTACTATTATTCAAAGATCTTTTTGACAATACATGTACTAGAATATATCTTTAAGTTGACTCATTGTCTATTTCTCATGTATGCATTCAGTTAAATTATGTCCCCTTACATAATCAATTTAGCTTTATTGTGCTTTTCAGGGTCAGAAAATCAAATAAATTAATGACATTTGCATGGAAAATGAATAAACTATTTAATCTTGCTGATATACAATCATAATCACATTCTTTGTCCAAAAAATTGTCTTGTCAATGTAAAGAAACCCCTAATGCTATCTCTATTTCAGCTAAATATAAGGGCTAAATGAATAAGTAAGGATCCCTTAACCACTTACTAGTTCCAAAAAAGCTCTTTACTGGTGTCATGTTACCACAGAACTACAAATTAAACCTGAAGAAAACTAGTATAGCTGTACTTGTGTGGAAAAAAATAAAAAAATATGCACTTTATTTATTACGGTGAAAATTATAGGACGTACAGGCGACTAAAATATGTCGCGTCTCAAATTCCAGTTGTTGCACAAGTGTCAGACACTGCGAAAAGTTAAAACGAAACTTTATAATTAAAAATGTATTGCAAGTTACTTAAAAATAAAGAAATTTTACTTTCTAGGTAAATATTAACATTATTACCCACAGATCAGGCAAAATTTGCTGAATCAGCAATTTTCACTCCCAGGGGTGAAATTTAAGGGCTGTTTTTATTCTAGTTGCCCTTAATCAACTTTTTATTGATAAACTTACAAATTGCATAGGTAAAAAAAATACCTTTATTGATTTTGTGTAAACATATATATCCCAGTTAAGGTGGCACGGTAGTATTTCCTGGCCCATAAGGGATAATGATAGCCTTTTTAGGATTTTCACCCCTTTCTAGCACTGCGAAAAATTCTACATACACAGTTAACTGAAGTACTTTCATTATACTAATCAGAAATAAATTTGAATATGTATCATGACCGTTTACTTTTTTTGCTATTTTTAAAAACCTAAGGCCACTAGTGCTTTTAGGTCTTTTATCATGCAGTGAATACAAAATTAAAAAAATTCTCAAAAATTCATTTTCACCTGTTTGTAAAATTATTTCTTATTTTTCTACACCTGATTCATCCCTCAGTTTGGGAAAGTATGTTCAGTTGATACTGTATTTTTAGTCCAATCACACTGTTCAGATACATTGACCTAAGTAGGGTACACAAAAGAGCAACCTAAATTCTGGAATGCAAATACTACTGTGCTACCTTAACCAAGACATTACAAACTTGAAATCAGTCATGACACCTATGATGCATAGACTTCTTACTAGGAAACATATTACAATAAAGAATACTAGTCTTCACTTATTTCTTACCAAAAAAAAATTAAAAAGTATACCCCTACCCCAGCTGGCAGATTTTCACTTTTTTTTCATCTGAACATTTTTACTTAAGGAGTGAACAAAACCCAAATATATGTTGTTTCAAATCAACACAGAAGTAAACCATGGTGATTCAGGAGGAATTATTGGATTGCCAACTCTCTTTATAGTTAATCTGACTGAAAGAAACAGTTTAAGCACCAAATCATGAAAACTGATAGTAAAGTCCATTCCACATTTTACAGCATGCCTTACATTCCTTTAAGCATTTCCAGATTATGAAGGCAATATAACAAGACTCTTTAGATGGCAGTTTACTATTATTCAAAGATCTTTTTGACAATACATGTACTAGAATATATCTTTAAGTTGACTCATTGTCTATTTCTCATGTATGCATTCAGTTAAATTATGTCCCCTTACATAATCAATTTAGCTTTATTGTGCTTTTCAGGGTCAGAAAATCAAATAAATTAATGACATTTGCATGGAAAATGAATAAACTATTTAATCTTGCTGATATACAATCATAATCACATTCTTTGTCCAAAAAATTGTCTTGTCAATGTAAAGAAACCCCTAATGCTATCTCTATTTCAGCTAAATATAAGGGCTAAATGAATAAGTAAGGATCCCTTAACCACTTACTAGTTCCAAAAAAGCTCTTTACTGGTGTCATGTTACCACAGAACTACAAATTAAACCTGAAGAAAACTAGTATAGCTGTACTTGTGTGGAAAAAAATAAAAAAATATGCACTTTATTTATTACGGTGAAAATTATAGGACGTACAGGCGACTAAAATATGTCGCGTCTCAAATTCCAGTTGTTGCACAAGTGTCAGACACTGCGAAAAGTTAAAACGAAACTTTATAATTAAAAATGTATTGCAAGTTACTTAAAAATAAAGAAATTTTACTTTCTAGGTAAATATTAACATTATTACCCACAGATCAGGCAAAATTTGCTGAATCAGCAATTTTCACTCCCAGGGGTGAAATTTAAGGGCTGTTTTTATTCTAGTTGCCCTTAATCAACTTTTTATTGATAAACTTACAAATTGCATAGGTAAAAAAAATACCTTTATTGATTTTGTGTAAACA